ATGGAACTGAAGATAAAAAAGAAGATAACCGAATCACACCAAGGCACCCCCTTTTAGACCCCTTGAGCCCCTTCAATAATGATTTATACCCCCCTTGGCCCCCCTTTAAAGCCAATACTCAAAAAAAGAAAAGAGCCCAGATTTGGGCTCCTCTCCGAGAGCACAGAAAAACCCCACCGCCAATTTATTTTATTTTATTTTTCTTCTTTTCTTTTTACCCTTGCCCGGGTATCCCAGGCCTGAGACCACCCCGGGCATCATGCCCGGGTGACGGGCCGGTCCAGATGGTCATGAGAATCTTCCTTAAAAAAAAAAAAAAAACATTTCATCTTCTTTTTTCGGTTGTTTTCTTTCAGTTCGTGTTTTGATTTAAAAAAAAATATTTAGCAAACATTTCATCTTCTCTTTTCGGTTGTTTTCTTTCAGTTCGTGTTTTGATTAAAAAAAATACATTTAGCATCGAGAAAAGTTAAATAAAAATTACGGCGTTCCTGATTTTTTCTATTTTATTTTTTTGCTCATTCTTTGTCAATGAAAACATGTCTGTCCGTCGCGTTGATATGCTTCGAACTGTCTGTTCAACTCCAGTTCAACGCGGACTCTACGCTCAATCAAATTATTTAACGCGGACCACGCGTTGAATCCACATCCAAACACTCAGAAAGCGGATACTCCAGTCTAGCCAAGGATTAACAGAGCGAAACTTATGGTTTCTTCCCTGGTTCAGGACCTCAAACGGAGAACGCCATAATTCTTTCTTTTCTAGAAAATCAAACAAGAGAGAGTTGTGCAGTGTGAGCCATGATATCTCCTGAATGGGAGTACAGTATGACGGGGCCTGTTTGGCTCTCCAACTGGGCCATGCTCGTTTTCCAATTCCGTCTCAGGAAAGGTCAGAGGATGACGAGCAGCCTTCAAGACGCGCATTCGGCCCTCGCGTTCGTCTGCTCGCCAGAGTTATTTTAGAAGGATTCACTATGTTCGCTATGCGGACGACTTCCTGATTGGAGTCATCGTACCTAGAGCACTAGCCGATACATGCATAGATAGGAAGGAGGGGGGGACACCGTCACCCTGGCCTTTGCGCCCGCACCCCCCGCATCGTTTCTCTCCTAACACCCCAAGCGACCTGGGAGACGGGCTCTCCCAGACCTCGTGCGACGCATCAGCACCGGGGCTGGCACGGCCGGAGGGAGCGGCACATCAATGGAGGTTATCGCCAACGTGGGGCGTGCCTGCCCCTACTCTTGAAGGGGTCGTGTAGGGTTGTGTTCATAACGGTTGTTTCAGCGTAGGGTGTACAGTGATCGCGGATGAGCTGGACCAGTTGCAGTCCGTGGAGTACAAATTCTGTTCTCGCACTGTTTCTTCAACTTTTTTGCCAGTCACAGGAAAGGGTAGATGGGAAATAGGTGAACTGCAGGGGTGGAAGCAAAACACACGAACCAAGGGTGGAGCTTGTCCAGCCAAAGCTGGCGTCAAGACAGTTATTCTTCGCTTAAACCCAAGGGTAAATCTTGTGCAACTAGAATTACTCATTCTTTCTATTTTTTAATAGTAGTAATTCTTCCCCGTTAGCGGGTAACGGGAATCGAACCCGTATCATTAGCTTGGAAGGCTACTTAGTAGGGATATTTCCCCAACTCATGTAGGCCTGGTAGGGATATCCCACAAATCCGGTAGGCCCAAATGAGGTCTGGTCCGGGAGGCTTAGAAGAGCACCCATTGACTTCCAAAAAAGTGAAGACAAATACGGGCCAAGGTCCGTACCAAACTAACTTGTGGGTTAGATTCAGGGCTCCTGATCGACTGAAGACTCATCTACAAACGTCTGTGAGCGTGTCCTCTTTGGGGATGAACCTGCTCTGAACGTGGTATCAATAGCCATATCAGATAGTGGATTGTGTTGATTCCGGCGTCCCAGTCCAGATCACTCCACTACAGATCCGGCTGCTCCAGCAGCTGCAATGATATTCCCACCATAGGCCTAGCGCAGGCCGAAAGAGGCAGTCGCACCTCGGCCAAGAGAGGTTGGAGGCTGAGTTGCAAGAGTGGTACACCATTCGGCCATAATGAGTGGGGCGACAAATTCCCTGCTAGTCCAGCTGCTGCTCTGCCCAAACGGGTGATGTTACGCAGCTCGAGGCGAGTGATGAAGCTGGACAGTGAAATTGAAAACTCCCCTGGCTATAGCGTAGCAGTAGTCGTTGTAAGGCGTACGCCTAGACTGAGGAAGGGGGTGAATGACCTCAAGGCTGAAGGAAGAGAGTGGCGGTTGAGACAGTTGCATTGTCCTTTGAAGATGGACTGCCATAGCTACATATACAACCGAAAGCGAACGAGTGAGGTGAGGCTGAAACGACAGCTCTTTCAAACGGGGAATACTCAGACATGGCTCCTGTTCATTCATTCATCTGTTGTTATGGAGATGAAGACGGGAGAAGAAGATGATCTGGAAAAGATGAGGAAAGACGTCGGGTTCAACTTTAAACGTGCAATTCTTCTGTTCTTCTATCCTCTTCGTTCCATTCCGCTCTTCTCCACCTTCCACTTCTTTGGAGTTGAGCAAGTCTTGCACTTTCTCACATTTGGCTTTTGCATTATGGATGGACTACGATCATGACACTACAGGATCACATCTTCCACTCTCCACGCAGTAACACACCATAATAAAAACGTAACTTTTGTTTTTCTAGAAGTCTAATATTGTACTGTGATATCTTTTTATTAGAAGACAATGACGCAGTAGATGAACCTAAATATTGGAACTTAGATTTATATAATTTTTGGGTAAACCCTGGCAATGGACCAAAACGGCGTACTATTTTTAGACGAGGGCCTCTATATGGTGACATCATTAACCCTCCATATCATCTAAGAACCAGAATGGATGCCAAAGCATCACATCACCTACTCCACAAAGGCCCACAAAGACGGTAAAACATTCTATGAGGCACCAGCGTGATTGCATCATAAGACAAAAACCTGCCTTGCATAGCAGAGCATATATCCATGAGATTCATACAATCTGGTTTTGATTAGATACAGAGCATACATCCATGAGATTCATACACTCTGGTTTTGTCAATGAGATTCATACACTCCGGTTTGATTAATGACAAATCTCACTTAGACCAGGCACACACACACACACACACACACACACACACACACACACACACACACGCACACACACACAATCAGTTTTCTGTCTGTCGGTCCTTTTCCTGTTGTTTGTCCTCCCTCTAATTTTTTCCAAGTATTTTTGTGTGTGCCCAACTGAGCACCCTTAGGTAGTGCTAAACAGTCGGTGGTTCCTCGTTTGGAGTGCCAACTGCACTCTTAGGGGGGCCGCTCGGTTCGGGATGTCTGTGTTGCCTGTAGGTGATGACGGATGCTTGTCGGAGCGTCTCCCTGGCTCAGTGGGTGGTGGGAACCAACAGTCTGTGGGGTTCACCCGTGATGCGAGTAGGTGATGTGCTGCTTTGCTCCGTGTCGGATGTGTGGGCGACCCCGTCTGCGCTCCACCACTGCCTTGCTGCCCGTTCCGCTTGCCTTGCAGGTCGTTCTTGGCATGCTGCTGTCTTCGCTGTGTGGTGAGGCCGGGTTGTGGTGCTGCCTTGCGCTTCGCTGCTTCCTTGCCGCCCGTCCGCTGGTCGTGCCTTCCGCGTCCTTTGCTTGCGCGCCCTGTAGTTTGGTTGCCGTGTTGGGGTTGAGGTTGCCTTGTGCTCCTCAGCGTGGTTGCTCTGCTGCTTGCCCGCTTGCCCTCTCGTCACTTGCAGTGTGGTTGTCTTGGTGGTGTGGCCTGGTGCTTCACTGCTTGGGTGCCGTGCTGCGAGTTCGGCGTGCCGTGCCGTTCCTTGCAGTCGTTTTTGGCGCTATGCAGCCGTGTTGCCTCTACTGCGCTGCCTGGTGCTCCGCAGGGTTGCTGCCCGCTGCTATGTTCCGCTTGGGGACAGTCTGCCTTCAACAAGGGTCAAAGGGTTCATGACCCAAACCATCATATACGGAGATTCCGCAGATTGTCGAGGGTTCATCCTCCTGATGAGTCGGTGCAATTCCGACGACACAATCTTGTCACCATCAGTTTATTTTTTTCGGTCTTCCGATTTACTTGACTTGTATTTTTTTCGGTTTGCCTGCCTTCGTGTGCTTGTGTGCCTGTTTTGTGTTCTTGCATGTTGTCTGCCCTCCCGCCTCCCCCGTGCCCTCCAGCCTTTGCCTTGATGTCCTTTTGGTTGCTTTGCTCTGATGTTTTCCTTGTCTGCCTGGTCTTGGCATCCTTTCGGGACTTCGCCTGCTGGTGTGCTTGCACGTTGTGTGCCCTCCCGCCTTCCCCTTGCCCTCCATCCGTTGTATCTTTAGTATCTATATTGTGGGCACTCAGTGTCTTTTGCTTGTGAGTGCACTTGACCGTGAAGCGTTGGAACACATCTTAGGGAGGTAATGTTGAGTCTAGTCCCCAGGGAAAACAATGTCTTGGTGTGAAGCTGACAACTGGGGTTTACAATATACTTAAACACCACACACACACACACACACACACACACACACACACACACACACACACACACACACACACACTTCTCTCTCTCAGTGTAGAGTGGGTTTTATGACTCTGTCAGACTAGTTTCTCAGACTTACTGCCGTAGGGGTTTGGACCGACAGTCTGCTAGGACTGCAGGGTTGATTGGTGTGAGTAAACTCAGACCACTCTTCTCTCTCTCTTAGGTGGGTATCGCTATCAATGGGCGATGTGAGGTGTCCATATCCATCAGTCAAATGCATCCTGGGGAGACTGTCGGGGGTTCAACCTCCTGATGAGTCGGTGAAAGTCCAACAGATCAGTCCGACACAGACATGCTTTTTTTGAGTGTATAGCGAATATGACAACAAAGTTGAACAAACCAGTGAAACAAAACAAAAGAAAACCAAAAACAAACTCCTCGAACATTCTAAACAGCCCCCATGTGTCCAATACACCTAAAGTGGACTCGCAACGACCAAAGCACCGAGGCACTGAAGCCACGCGCACACATTTAAATGGAAACAAAAAAACACCAAATGGTTGAAACGATTAATTGAAGGTCGACTCCTCCTTCCCAAGTTTTAAAATTTGGAACCACATCGAAACAATTTTCCAACTCCTCTCTACAACCACCAACCACCCATGATCAAATGAGTCACCACCGCTATCTACTCCTACCACTACTGAAAATCAATCCCTTCAGTGCCCTACCAGCAACGGCTTCACAGCCTTGTGGCTCATCACCTGAGGAGCCTTTTCCGGGCCACCGAGCGTACACAACAAACCTGTGCTGCTGCCATTGCAAATCACTGTGTTCCTAGCCAAAACATAGGAAAAATCATCTTCTATGATTTCTATCCCATAACCGAAGCCTTCCATGCCACTACCACCAATATAGCACAAACTGTGCCAAAGTTGAAGAACAGATCAGAAAAGAAGCAGGGCAGAAAAAGATGAAGATTAAAGACCATCATGGTCCTCAAGAATTGAAGTCTCCGCATTATGTTCAATTGGCATGCATGTCGGCAGTACCACGTCTACTCGGAGCTCAGTACTTCATTACACAGTCATGCCCTGCAACACACACCCGCACGCAGCTCACACTTGGCAAAGCCAATGAATCAAATTGCCCAGCAACACACTTCAGGTGCTTCCCTTACCTTCTGACGAAAAGTTGCGCCTACCTCCCATCTTCAAGGGTTCGCGACAAAGTTGCAGCTGCCTTCCATCCTCGAGGGGCTGCTGACGGGAACCCACGCTGCACGTAATGCCATTGTCTGCCAAAGCCATTGCAGGACCACAAGTAGACTCACTCTGTTCTGCAATTAGAATCATCCATCGCTGGCACCTCCCTCGTAAACAAACCGGTCAAGCCCATGCTGGAGGAGCTCACGATCAAAGAGCCAGCCCTCTGCTATACGAACCATCCATCGCTGTCTGCTAAACAGTTAAGCAACACGATCGAAGAGCCAGCCCTGTGCTACCCGATTCCTTCTCAAAAGATGCACCTCTTAACATCAATCAAACCAATGCTGGAGGAGCTCACGACATAAGCAAAGCCCACACGTATAAGTAGAAACAGGCCAGTAATTGTTCACACCTTCATTTTGAGGTAGTCTCAGGTAGAACCATCCATCTCCCTCGTTCCTACCGAAAAGTCGCATTTTCCTGATCTGTCTAGGACCACAGATTTTCCATGTAAGACCCCTGCTGGAGCTCACCTTAAACCACCTGGGTCCAGTACATGGCCCCAGGCAAATGGAGAGAACCTGTTCTAAGCCTCTCCGGAAATTTAAGAGGCCGAGGGCCATAGATAAAACGAATCGGCGGCGGGCCGTCTCCGAAAGGGGCCCTCGGCCGATAGCTGGTATGTATGTACTGGTGCTTTAAGATGCCTGCTGGAGCTCACCTTAAACCACCTGGTCCAGTACATGGCCGCAGGCAAATGGAGAGAATCTCCAGAAATTTAAGAGGCTGAGGGCCGTAGATAAAACGAATCGGCGGCGGGCCGCCTCCGAAGGGGCCCACGGCCGATAGCCGGCATGTACTGGTGCTTTAAGACGCCTGCTGGAGCTCACCTGGTCTCGACCACCTTTAAGACATAATTGAAACAAGGATGTGATCAATCGATTTTGAATGAAGCCATCTCCTCAAGTCCTTCAGAGACAAGAGCAAGCTCTCTCCGGTTTTCCCCACTTGTACCATTTCGTCGCGCACCATAAAATCGCCACAAACATACACTGCAATATGCTGCACTAATTCCTTAGCGTCAAGCAGCAGGCAATCTCCACATGAAAAAGAAGTAATTGCCTTGTAGACATGCTCACTCACCATTTGCCGGCTTGGCTCAGTGCACTCCGAAGCTCTGTGCGGATGTGACCTCCTCCACACTCCACGCTCCACCCACCCATCTCTCCTGATCTTCAAGCAACCCTCAAAGGGAAACAACCACACCCATGTAAAGGCCATCAATCGTGGTAAAGAGGACAACACCAAAGGATTCAAATTTCAAACAAAATATCTTCTCATCTAAAACCTAAATGTCTACACTTGTCATTCAGACCAGTCCGAAGACATTGCACAAGCGCAATGTTAACCAACCAGGACATCAACCGTAGCATCAAGCTCATCCGCTCATTCGCTACATTCTAGGCATCAATGCAGGCATCAATGCTCAGCTTATGGAGAAACACATTCGCTTTTCATCGCCAACATTATCTCCACATAACTGTAACAGCCAACACGCAGCACCCACGACAGCATCCTCATTCTGTGCACCCCTCGCAAGCCATCGGATAATTCTCCGAAGCTGCATTCCTATTTGTCAGACGTATAACCTCCAGTACCACCTTCTTGTTCCCAGGGTTGCAGTTTGAGCACCGCCTTGAATGTACTAGTGTACAGCATGCTCTCTGAATCTATTGTGACAATACAGATCTGGGGATCAAGTCCCAAACAAAGACATGCCGCAAAACGCATGCTGGCATGGATGCGCCCTACCTTCCAAGGCTTGTCTCAACGAGGGCACGTAGGCAAAGGTTCAACGAGTTCTATCGCAGCACAATGATATCAAACAGCCAAACGAATGCAGTCGCAATCGCACAGGCGTTCATTTCGTTACAGCCAGACAGGTGTATGGCTCTTCCTTCAGACCAAACTAGCCCTGCTGCATCGCAACCCCAGTCCATAGACAAAAGCATATCACAGCCCATAGACGTCCACAAGCGGACAAAAATGGAAGTGGCATGCAAGCAGGTCATCCCTGGCCCGGAGGACGAGACCCTTCGTTCCACGCACGTAGTCCTCTCCCTCACCGCATATACAGAGTCATACATCCAACAAAGCTCCAATATACACAGCCAGCCGCTTTCCAGCTTAACAGAATCATTGCGGTTCTGAGTGCTACATACGACCACAACCGCTTCATGTTATCGGCCGCAGTGCTGATTGAATGAATGGAAGCACTCAACTGCCACAAGTATATGCGAGAGCGAACACACTCGGCCCAATCACACAGGAAGCCCAGTAGATTTTAAAACCACAGCGCACTCACCAGATAATACGCCTTTCCACATTTCAATCGCCATGCGCCATGGCATTTAGGCCGAAAGCATCTTATCATGCATGCCATGGCAGACGGTCCTCATAGTCCTTCGATGAGCCCCTACTTGGCATCCGATTGTCTTCCACGAAAACATGAACATTGTCCACGATCAAGCCTCTTGTTCATACTCACGAAAGCAAAGGAATCGCTGACGGCCGCACACCAAAAATGTGTGTGCAGTCTGTTCACGGGCGATCACGAGAAGAATCCACCAGAAGTCCTATAACTTCCCATCCTTCCGGGCCAATGTCTCATTTACACCCCCGTTGACTTCCTTCACACTTTTAGCATCGTTGCCTGCATCACCAACATGTGCGGTAGACCCCATCCCAGCTCCTGGATCCCGGTTTCCATCATTGTCCGTGGCACCTCTCTCATTTTCCATCCCGTTCGGAAGATGCGCCGGAGCAGGCAAGGTTGACTCGGAGTTGGCGATGACGTCAGGGTTGCCATTCAGGTGATTGCACCGCGGACAATAGTATGTGAGAACCTCATAGTCCTCCTTCTTGGCCAGACCTGCAGAAAAGAGATCAGGAAACCAGTTTTTACGACACTTTGGCTGCCAGGGGAAAAAAAAAAAAAAAAAAAAAAAAAACTTTGGCAGCGAAGTATGGAGCTCACATAGACTACCGGACAAGGCAAGCCGGGCAGGAGAACGTACACTATGGACATACATCACATATACGGTACATGAGCAAGATAACAAGAAACAAACCTCCGCAGACATGCATCTGGGGCATCAATGTCCTATCACATCCCATTCAGCAGACGACAATCCACCGACATGCGTTAGGTCACAGCATGTTTGCGAGGCAAATGAACTGTCAAAATAGCCTGGCTGAGGAGAGTATCAAACGACAAACGCACCATTCACAACAGGCGCTCAGAATCTCTCTCGGCATGGCCAGGGTTGGGCAGAAACATTACTCACAGCAGGCATTCGAGCTGTCGTGCAAGACCATTCGGTGATATGCCATGCCGCCACACATTGATGAAGCATTAGCATACGGAGTATGGCTGGCACGGACAATGAAGCGGGGCCAGAGTTTGACACCACTTAAGAGGAGGTGATCTACAATTAGCCAAGGGGGGACACAGTCAAAGTCGCCTGTAGTGGGGACTCAGAGCCCAAAGTTGCAGCTGCCTCCCATTTTCGAAGGGCCGCTGGAGGACGTAGAAGACTGTCCGACCACCAGGACGATAAAATAACCAATTTACCAAGATCCATTTGCCCATTAACCATGTGGCAGATGCAGCAATATATCGAGCAGCATCCGTGATTCACAGGGATGGCAAGCTGGAAGAGCATACCAAGAAGTGATGTGGAAGACTTCTGTCCCAGCCTGCTGGATGCACATACTACATACCCTTCATGCAGGCGGACAGGCAGTATGACAGGCTATTGGAACTTTGACAGCAGCCGTTCAGAGGACCAACGAGAGATCCAACTCAGAAGTCTGATTGCCTGCTGCAAGCCTCAGACTTAGATTAGGACAGAAGCCCATCATGTACTTGTTCATGAGGGCTCTTCAGCAGACAACAGCAACCCACTAGCTTCAGGGCTTGTCTTGCTCTAAGAGCACGACGGGCATCAGCAACAAGGCATGAGATGCACTGCCATATAGAGTCCCATCCCGTCGCATCAGCCTACCGCAGTGAAGATGATAACTGATACGATTCATGAGCATCGGTGACTATACAGGACATGGGTGCAAGGGCACCCATAAACAAGGTGTCTAAAGAGAGTAGACCGGTTATAGGTGTTGCGCTCACACCTACCCAGGTCGAGGAGACTGGTTATGTGCGTTTGCACACCGGTGCACAGGAGACGAGGTAAGAGATGCACTGCAGTATCAGGTCCTGTCCCTTACAGCTCATCAGCCTACCACAGCGGAGGTGATGACAGCTGGCAAGATACATGGGCTTCCGTGAGTATATACAGGACGTGGCTGCAAGGGCACCCACAAACAAGGTGTTTGAAGAGAGTTTGCCGGTTTGGAAAGGGTTTCACCCATTCTGCGGGACAATTGCAGATCCCAAGGCTCGATCCCTAGACCTATCCCTGAACCCCTGTACAGCTACCCGTTGACCCTATGTGCCTTGAACCCGTGACCTGTCCCCAGACACGTGCGTTTCGGTTTTGTACGTATAGTTGGGTCGCGTGGCCCTTGGTTTTAGCAGCCCTAGGGTCAGTCTTGTAGGTTAGCCCTAAGTGTGGCCAAGGGACGGTCTAACATAGGCTAGGAGTTTCTGGAAGTCGCTACTTGACTCTTTGGAGCCATAAGGGTCAGTTGTCCGTAGCTGAGTCAGCAAGGGTGGTCTAGTCTTAGTCCAGTCAGCAGTCTCAATACCAGTCCACCTTGTCCGGTCAGCAAGTACCAGGTGGGCCCGCACACTACTTGGGCCTGGAAACGAAGGTAGACCAGACCACCAACGAAGAAGTATAAATAAAGGGGCAGCACCAAGCCATTCATTCATTAGCCTGCGATGCCGACGCGCTGTTTATGCAACTTGTGCGTTGGAGACCTGCAGGTGCCCGACGAAGAAGAGGGAGAGCGGCCATAGCCGCTAGTGCGAGAGGAAGACAATGGCAGCCATAGCCACCCCGTTGCTGACGTCAACAGATAGAGTGTATAGTGTGTGTGTGTGTGTGTGTGCGCGTGGACACTCAGGGTAGATCCTATGCGTGTGTGCATGTGTGTGAGTTGCGTGAGAGTGTCTGATGGTAGAGACAGTGTTGAAGGGGGGATGCAGGCTAGCGCTCAGCGGCCATAGCCGCCAGATGTGACAAGCTGACTCAAGCTGGGTCCGGGCCGAAGGCCATATTTTTGAGTTTTCTGTGTGGGCGCAGTGTTCCATCACAAGCTTGTTGCTGATTCTGTGTCGACGACGTTGTTTTGCCATCAGCACCTACATATATGCATGTTGCAAGCGAAACTGAGACAAGTCTGATTGCAGTTAAACTGTCCCCCGTATATGAGGAGAAGACAGCTGTATTAAAAAAAGAAAGAAAAAAGAAAAAAAAAGGAAAGAAAGAACGCCAATAGGTGTTGCAGTCACACCTACCCAGGTCCAGGAGACTGGTACTGTGTGTTGCAGGGCACCAGAAGCGGTTAACAGAGCCCTAAATTATCAGGGTTTTTTCAGGGCCATTATGACAAATGTCCCACACCTTTTAAGCCAGACTTCTCACCAGTTTCATAGGGTGGACACCAAATAAACCAACAGTAAAAAAAAAAAAAAAAAAAAAAAAAAAAAAAAAAAAAAAAAAAAAAAAAAAAAAAAAAACCCTTCATAAAAGTAAAAAAGTTGAAAAAACCGGATCAAAGGGGCCTTGAATCGCAAGGCGGAAGTCTGTTTTCAACTTTTCATGCAAATTCGCTCTTTTCAGTTTCAGGATTTTTCAGGACTTTTCAGGACTTTTCAGGACTGGCCAAGACAGTCATATCTCCAAGATCCTAACAAACACCAAACTTGGCACACCCAGACCTTGACCAAAAATAAAACAGGGCAGAAGAAAAAAAAGTTTAAAAATTGGGAAAAAAAAATAAATCCCCAAATGCAGTTTTCACACAACTTTCCAGTGCTGCGGCGGGGTTAACCTGGGGCTGAAAAGTTGGGTTCCCTGTTAACCACTTATGCGGGGCGATGTATTCCCCACGTCCTCAATCTCCGTTGACTCCCTGGGAGAAGACTGATAATGGAGCAGAAATCCCGAAGAAGAAGAATGGAGCAAACATAGAAAACACAATTGTGCCGCGTAAGGTATATTTGAGAGAAGAACTCTGTGGGACATGCAGTGACCAGCCGGCTTCCGTGCGTATTCCTCAGATTCATCAAACATTCTGGCGTGCACAGTCCATCTCAAGCTCGCGCTTCTTAATGATCTGTGCGCCACTGTGCTCGATGTTTGCAACCACACCAGTGCAACAACGCAGTGAATACCTAGGAATTACCATAAACAAAATAAAATAAAGGTACCGACTCACCGATAGCTTGTCTGTAGGTAAATGTTCTCAAAGGCTCAGGAAGGAGTCCACTATAATAAAATGGCAGAAATATAATATCAACTTCAAACAAGTTGCTCATAGAAGTCTCGGATCAAATCTGAGATACTTTCGATCCAGTTGATTTCAGTGACGATTGCTTGAATTGAGTGACGTTTGCAAATTCCCTTAGTGGTAGTAAAAACTCAGTAATCGGTTCGATAACAATCAGTTCTTTTTTTTTTTTTTTTTTTTTATTTAAACAGGGCCTTGTGGTCCTGACTCCTTCTATTCTGGGGAGCGTCGGTCCAGTTCCTATTCCAACGGCAAGTCAACATATAATACATCACAAAGGGAAGACTCACGCTTCCTCCCGTTCGGCCGGAGGACCCCTGATCAGCATTGATAACAATCAGTTCTTAACAGCAAGTCTAGACAGAAGTTACGACAGACGACACTCAGGCGGCTACTATTCGTTCCCGCCTATTGATTCCATCTGAACATTCTAACATAGCATTCGTTTGGCTTTGGGTTGCAGTAAAGCACACAAGGAGATATTTCTAGAAAAGATCGTACCATTGTGTTGATGACATAGGGCACAGATGAGAGCATAGCACTGTGTTGGATCCTCGCCCACGAGCATCGCCGCAAATCGCGCAAAGAATCCTCCATTTGGAGCCCCCCTTAGAGCTTCATGTCTCCTCCTCCACTCACGATCTATACCTTCATCCCCACGAGATTCAAATTCCACGATTCCTCCATCATTTGATCGGGGCTCGCCAGTTCCCTCCTGGAGTAGTCCAGGGTTGGGACCACTTCCGTTAACTGGTCCTGGGCCCGCTCCTGGATTATTCCGTCGGCGCCGTAATGATTGGCCACTGACATTCGCTCCATATGGGTCAGTCTTCGGTGGCCGCGGCACATTCGGATCAGCATCTGAGGGTACACCATCAGCCCCTTCTACACTGTCCAAGACCAATCGGTGCTTCAATCCAGATTCGGCACCTAGCTTCGATACCAGGGCTGTTGTGGCTGCTGCCTTGGCAGCAGGGTCGGGATCATATTTCTGGCAGCCCCAACCAAGGGTAGTCATCACAAACATTCAACCAATGTACACTTCAGCATCAATCACGCACACAGCATCAATCACGCACACAAACAACACACGAACAGCAGACTTCAATTCCACACAGGCGTCACAGCACACGTGAGGTCACCATGCAAGCAGAAGAAAAAAAATCCCCCCCGTCACTGAACAAAAAGGCAACGACCAGAGTTCCTGACCGAACAAAAGACCAACGAGCAGATGGCAGTCAAGCTTCGTCTGTCTCTTGTTTGGCCACTCACACAAAGTGCCCCTGGTTTGGCTGTGATTGCGGTCAGGTACATTCAGGAAAATGGAAGTATTCCACGGATGGAGAGCGGTCCTGAATGTATCATCTATGTCCATGTAACCACCTCACGGAGTATATCTTGCGTCTAAAGCTTTCATAATATAATATCCGATTTCGAAACTGGGAAATTCCGCTAATGCGCCTCGATCGACACCAGAGGAAGAGGTAGGCTAGCCAAGCTATATATACCTTCGATAGGAAGAGGATTCTCTAATAAGCCCCACTTAATTGGAGACTTGAGGTTTGGCCATTCTCCAGATTCTGTCGAGGTTGCTGCTCAATTGGAGTAGTAGTTGAAGTTGGATTCATCCAGGTACCAACTGGCCTCGCTCAGTCGGCACACCCATGAACTTTCAGGGGTTGTTTGTACCATCCAGCCAGTGTACCACACAATCCACATATACTATGGCCCGCCCCATGTAGTATCCCCAAACCCACATTAACAATTGCTTGGTGTGCCATTCGCCCACATGGGGAAGAGAGGGGGAGTGGGCGGGGGGGGATTGGCAGTGTTTCTTTTTTTTGGGTCGTTTGGACCAGCCAGCCGATGTCCCATCTGCCACACGCCCCATTGTGTACCAGTCGGCCCACATAGTACCATCCACTCCACATACTATGGCCCGCTCCATGTAATACACCCAACTCGCATGGTATCATCAACCCTCCATAATACTGCCCGGTCCACATGGCATGACCCGCCCCTCTTACTGCCACCACCGCCCTTAGTATCACCCGGGCCACATAACAGCGCGTCGCCCACAGCACACACACCCACACCACATACTATGACCCACCCCATATAGCACCGCCCGACCCATGCAATACCACGCAGTACAAAGCAACCCGTATGGTAATGCTGGCTGGACGACATAATGCCATGGATGAAAACATGAAGGAGCAGATGTGCACCGCGGTCGCAGCCGTGGTGTACAACCGTTTCTAAATTCAACGACTCAGAAGATTGTGGGGACGCCATGGCTAACTACCATCTTCACCCGAATCGAACACCCGGTAATTATTGCCGTATCTGGACTGAAAGTTGCACCAAATACAGCTATAATGACCGGGTGTTCTATTCGGGCGAAGACGGTATTACTGTTCGTCCCTATGATGTAATGTGTGCTACAGCACCTAAGAGTCAAGTACACCAGAAACTGAGGGGTACTTCCAGGTCTCAGCATTATCCTTCCGAAATGCAGCAGTGGTAGCCCTTGGGGAAGGGCGATAGCTCAGCCAGGAGCCGGTTATCGATCTGCCATGGAGGCGGCATATAGGACAGCAGCACTAGAGGCCGAGACATGAGAATCGCGCTGCCAATTTGGTATGAGACACTTGGCACCCCACTGAAGAGGCAAGGGAAGGCCCCTGGCTGTGCGTGATGACCTTCCTAGCTTCGCTATGCGAAGCCATGGACCGTAGACTGCGAGGTGCTGCATTTCTTTTTTCAGTCTTCCACTCGGAGATTGCTGGACTTCAACAACAGAGGCTTGAGTGAGGAAAGAGCAGCAACATATAGAGGACAGTTTTGGTAATCGTAATCAGACCGCTGCCTTGGTTCTTCATCCTTTTCCGGGAGCTGGTTATCTTGGAATGACCCCTGAGTTGGCACTACGTGTAGATGGTAGGGAGGAGTGAAACGACGGACAGCGATGGAGGAGAGAACCGCAAATATTCTAAGAACTTGCACTAAGGTCAAATCACGAGACATTTGTTAGGTTGAATGACGCGATGTAACGGGGTAACAGAGATGAAGAGGACATTTTAGAGGACGGGAGAAGGAGAAGCAGAGCGAAAGGAGAAGTCACTTATTCATGCTATTGTTCATCTCTGCTTCAAATTTGAGTCTTTTCTCTCTCATCCCACCTGCAACTCTTCACATAACAGGGTAAAGTGATGCTGCGCTGCTCGCAAATGTTGTAAATGTGTTTTCTTTCGCTGAATGAGATCGAGGGCAATGGCAACCCGCATCCAATAAAACTTACATCTGACACGCGGAGACCACACTAGACCTCGATGACAATTCAAGGAGAGGATATCATACTTGGGGATTGTAGAAGAGAGCCGAGGTAAGAGATGGTGTGGAGTGATGCTGGCCATACCATAAGCTGACAGCGGCGCAAATACACATTTATATAGCGAGCAGTGGGGCTCGTCTGACACCCCCCGACCGGGCCCAACAGAAACAGATGGCGGGAGGTACAATCAGGGTACCGAAGTTCCGGTCGTTTTAGTCGGCTGTACCTGTTTTTTTTTTGTCTTCACCGCAAAGGTTGGCCTGAGGGTGCCGTTTCGGAGGCGAGCGTTTTTTTTGGCCACGCGTGTTTCGGGGCTGCGCACCATAAAGGATGCTGGTCACAGTTCTCCGCAGGTGCAGCTCCCCAGCTTGTTGTTTCCAAACCAGTACAGCTGGCATGCTAACAGAAATGCTCAGCCTCATTTCTTCGCATCCACACACATCTCTGAACCATCCATCCACAAGCTGTGAAGGACTTCCACAAATCTGTGAGATGATATGTAATCATCAAGGCAAGAACCAACCATTCACTCGACACACCTCGTCAATTCTTCATGTCTGTCGAACACATCATACTACGAAGTTACGAACTGGTTTTTCATTGGATACATTGTCTTCCGCGCTGGATACAAACCTGAATGAGCTGCAGCATGGCATAGAACTGTTTCTCCTCCTTGAGCTGATCAAGCTTTTGTGTGCGTTCATTGCGCAGCTTCTCCAAGTTTTTCTTGTCTTTTACTTCGCCTACCAAGTCAAAAACACCAGAAGAGAACAGTCTGAAAGAATTAGTTGCATGTCATTTCAAAAGTACAGCTCGACGTACAACAACCCGGGCAAGGCTGGCGAAACTCTAAAATTGAGGAATAGCAATCACACCCAAGCCATCTCTGAAAAACAAATGCAATCGGGTCCGCACGGATCCTAAACATGAAAAAGAAATAAACCAAGAACGGTAGGAAACTAGCGTAAACGGACAGTTGGGTTGGAGGATAAAAGAGAGAAAAAGTTGAGGGAAAGCTTCTGAGTCCTGACTTAATAAAATCAGCTTCTGACTTAATAAAATCAGAAGCACTTAAATCTAGATGTCATTATGTAAATCAAAGATGGCTAGACAATATGCTATGTTAACTAATTGGACGACGATAGAAACTCGAGTGGCCTCACATATCACTCTTCCAAGATTGTTGCCACAACACACTATCCTCTTCACCTGAATAAAACGCCCGGTAATAATGGCCGTATCTGGACTGGAATCCGCACCACCATACGGCTATAATGACCAGGCGATCTATTCAGGTGAAGACGGGAGTTGAAAAGAAGAAGACAGCGGCAGGGAGAGAAATGTTCTGTTTCTAATAGACGTCCAGCTGACGAGTGCCATGACGAATCTGCTCTTCACTCGTTCCCCCTCCCTCCTATTTAGTTATCTGCATAGACTGTCATAACACGTCCACGTTCGTTCTTCCTTCTCCTTCCTTCCTGCCCATCAGGTCAGGGATATCAGAGGGCCATCAAAAACGGCACTCTTTGTTTGCTTCATCTCCCCTCCATATTACCTTCCTTTCGTTTGCCTTTTTCCAAGAGAGGGGGAGGGAGGGGGGGGGAGGGAAGTGCAGCAGGGTTATCTTTACTTTTTAACTTACCGGACTGCCGAGGCAAGAGCAAATCCAAAACAAATCTTACTTTTTTTCGGTTCCGGACCCGAGAGAGTTAACTGATTGTGATCCAGTCTTTCCAGCCCCATGTATACAGCCTCACTGTGGGGCCGTATACATGGGGCTGGAAAGCAAAGACAACCCTGCTGCACCCAGAGTGATTTTAATCCAGTTTTCCAGCCCCATGTATCAGATGCGATGGTGATTTCAAAGGGGCCGACTGATACACTGATACTTAAACCACCAGTACTTGGCCCATCTATCGGCCGCAGGAAAAAATAGAGTAGAAACGTTTCTAGTCGGATGAACTTGGGTGCTCCTGTAGTGGCCCGTACTTTTCCTAAAATTGTGGCTTGTTAACGGGCACGACTTCAGGAAGTACTTGTGGTTTAAAGACCAAATGACAAACGGTCGCGTACGAAAGGTGAGATGGGCTATACGGCACCCATCTAAATACCAAGTGCACAATAAGTTTTGCTCCTTGCCAAAGAAGGTGTACCAACTACTACCAAGCACATATCCGCGAATATTTTCGAAGTGAACACTGAACTCCATGTGCAACCCCATCTCAGCACAAACATAGGTGCTTGTGCTTTCAATGCATTATGCGCAGGATGCATTGATATGCCGGTGTGCATGGGAATAGAGACTCTATAGAGTCTAGAGGGGAAAAGAAAAGAACAACAAATCCGTGTTCCACTTCCACGACCACTTTCCATTCAGTTCCACGTCATTCTACGTTATGCTGTGGGTTTTCAATACCATGCCAGTCACCGCCTTCTTCTTTGCTAACTTTGTGTCCAACTGAATTGAGCTTGCGACTCCTGCTCAGTGCTCAATGCTCATCCATGTGTCTTTACGGTGTCAGAGATACGGAATCCATGGTGACATGAAGAGCCGGTCTTACAAATCTGGAAGTACTTGGCACAGGCCACATATAGAAGATAAGACATCGCTGGAAACACAAACACCGGCACCACCCGTGATGATCTCGCCTGCCATGAGAGTGTCGGTGATCGTGTAGATAAGATGGCGAACACAAGCACGGCAACCTGCACACAGACACACACACACACATGCACACACATGCAGAAAAATCAGTCTTCTCATCACCTCCCCCAGCTAATTTGAGTTCACTGGCAATGCAACCATTCTGGCGCTCAGCAACAGATCCGTTCACTTCAACAGACCACGGCAAAGCACTGACCAATTTGGAGCAATCAAACATGCATGCAGCCACCACTTGCCACCATACAACATGGGCAAGAACGGCCTTCAACCAATGGGCCAATCTCAGTTGGTACCTGGCCCTGGGAGCGGTGCTACCGAAAAACCTTTTTTTTTTTTTTTTTTTGTGTGTGTGTGTGGGTGAGAGAGAGAGAGAGAGACACCCCTGAACTGTTGAAATGCAGACTCAAGTTCGAATCCAGATACCTTCAGATGACGAGGAGAAAAGTGTGCGTTCTAAGAGAGCAGATCCTGTTCAATTACAGTCGTCACATGATAACGACCTACAAAAAAAAGAAAAAGAAAAAAGAACGGCCTTCATTTTTTTCCGGGACAAAATGATCGCTGACGTGTTTCAGTAACCTCAACGAATACCTCACTCGGTGATTGCTAACGTGTTATGGGACAAAATGATTGCTGACAAGATGATTTTTCACGTATCAATCCTGGAAAACGCGAGCATCGTACCTCACTTCGTCACTTCACAAAACAAACCCAAAACGGACAACATGGGCAAACCTGGACGGGACGACTAGCTCTATCCCAATCCAGAAAAGCAAAAAACACTGTCTGACTTTGTTACTTCAAATGATTGCTGACAAGATGATTTTTCACGTATCAATCCTGGACAACGCGAGCATCGTACCTCACTTCGTCACTTCACAAAACAAACCCAAAACGGACAACATGGGCAAACCTGGACGGGACGACTAGCTCTATCCCAATCCAGAAAAGCAAAAAACACTGTCTGACTTCGTTGCTTCACCAAACGAATTCAGAACAAGCCCGACTTCAACCATGTTTAACATCGTCAAATTGGCACTCCATTCACATGACATAGCCTTTCCTGTGAGATAAAACAATTGTCCTTCACAATTCCCTCATTAAACCACCAGTACGTCCCATATACAAGCCATGATTTTAGGAAAGGTGCGGGCCACTACAGGAGCACTAGAAACGTTTCTACCCCATTTTTTTCTGCGGCCGATAGATGGGCCAAGTACTGCTGGTTTAAAACTGTAGACCTGTGCTCTTATAAGCCACACTCCTGCCAACTAGCAGCATCAAAGATCCCACAGATATGCTGTCCTCACAAAGTGCCAATTGTGACCTTCAGCAATGCCTGTGAACTACCTTCTCCCATGTACCTGTGAACTACCTTCTCTCATGGAGTGGAAGGAGTCACTCCACCCTCCTCACACACTCCGCATGTCTCCCATGGTCTCTCCAGACATGGGACGGTTCACTGAGGCAAGAAAACATCATTGCTGCAAAGGAAACCACCGACATCAATCATAGCATGGACCATGGTGCCATTGTCCCACTCTCCAGTGGTCACAGGCATGAACAAACATGTAATGGCCAGGACAATGTACAATGCAGGTGGAGACGTGAGAGAACGAAGCACTAACCAGGCCGAACATGGCACAGTTAAAGTCGGTGGTCCCCCCATTGCTACTTGTACGGCCTCAATTGTAAAGCCCCCATCCCTGGCATAGTCACAACCATACTCGCAAGCGGGCGCCGTCCGGGCTGTTCCGCACGTGCGGCAGACCGCCGGACCGGACCTGCGCGGCGCACGAATGTGCGCCCGACGACCAGTTACGCCCCACCCCCCCCAAAAAAAAAGCCCCCGTCCAGTCTGGTCCGGGTCCGCCCGGTCCGGGGGGAGGGTGCCGCACGCGGCAAAGCGGACCGGACCGGACCCTCGTCCGGTCCGTCTGCTCGCAAGTATGGTTACAACCATCTGACTTCAGACGCAGAAGATCCACATAAAGCTGAAAAGGGCAATTGCAAAGACGTACGACGCCATATAAGACAGGAGGAAGAGAGAGAATGTGCCGACAAGCATTGGTGGGATCTCAACAAACGTTGAAGAACAGGGATTACAGAGATGTTCCTCGACGCCATCAACAGGCTGGAGTGCCAGAAAATGGCCAACAATTTGCAGGTTACCTAGATGATGTTCCACACGTGGAATGTCCTGGACTGTGTCCCGGTCGGTCATTGGCAGATCAACCATTCAGTTCAGCCAAACGACGTTCCAATCCCGGGACAATCGAGGCTGCATTCTGAGTGGGGTCTGCCCTGTGACTGGGGCGTCCACATTGAGTGGGATCGCATCCTGCCGTGCAGGTGACTCACGACTCCAATCGTGTAGATCATCAAACTCGCCCTTGTGACTGCCTGCAAAGGAAGTTGGACTGTCCGCAGGGGAGACAAATTGGACTGTCTGCAGGGGACACAGGAAGCGATACATTACCATTTCGGGCAGCGCAATAATCTATAGAGCAGGCACAGTGAGATTTGGGGCAGAAGAAGAAGCGCGCAGCTGAGCAATGATACAGTGAACTTCATCGACAATACACTTGACACGCGCTGGTGACGTGGCCAACTCGAGATGAGTACGTCTCCAGCAATGAAAGTGGAACAATGGGAACACGAGAACAGGTTCTCAAGCGAGACCGAAGAGGAGATACGGGCCCAGGAGGAACACGTCCGTTTGGAGCTCACAAAGCACAGAAAGAGAGGACAGGAGAGGAGAGGAGAGGAGAGGAGCATCGATTGGGCAAGGGTTATGCAAGCGCCGGGAAACAAACTACGGGAGCTCCAGGATGGCTGTGGTGTTCTCTGCTCTGGAACTAGCAGCAGAGGAAGCTGTAGCAGTGGAAGGCTAAGGGTTCGAGTCCCGGTTCTCCAAAACTGCAGCAGAGGAAACTGCAACACCAGAAACTTCGGCAGTGGAAACTGCTGCAGTGAAAATTTCGGCAGAGGGAACCGTAGAAGAGGGAGATGGCAGCAGTGGAAACCACAGGTCAATCACTACCGTTTTCCCCCGAACACAACGCACCCTCATTTTGACTGTATCGGGCCGGAAACATACCTTGTACACGTTCATTTTCCAGGTGCGCTACGTTCGGGGGAAGATGGTAGTAGATGGGCAAGAAATGGCAAGACAAGGGCCTCGCGGCAGGAAGGAAGAAAGTGGATGGTGCAGGGACCATCATCCCATGCGTAAGCGCCACTGAGAAGAACACGTCACATGTGCAGCATAGCAGCGCTACCAAAAGCGGATGGAGCAGGTCCAGCCGTTGTCAAGGGTTAGTGGGGGATACCCACAAGAAAGCGTGCAGTGAATAAGCGTTGTTGCCAGATTTTAGTAGTCCCACCAATCATTACAGATTCGACCAAATCCGGCCAATTGCCCAGCGAGCACAACAGCCGGTTGATGGGGAAGGAACGTTCGATGTTGTACTTGGATAGCAAATCACGGGGAAGTCGCAATCAGTCGCTTTATCAACGAGGCTCGTGAAGAAAGCGATCAGAGCAGACCCCTAGCTGCATACCTGAAAAGGTACATGAGCCATCTGAGGCTGTAGTTTTCTTCCACTCAAGGCCGTAGTGATTGCACTCTAGATCAAAATTTACATATGACGATTGGCCCACCCACAAAGGCCTACCAAGGAACGTTGGCCTGTAGCCCGTGCAAAAACATTAGGCTCACTCGTGAAGAAAGCCATCAGAGCAGACGCATAGCTGCATACCTGAAAAGGTACGAGAGTCATCTGAGGCTGTAGTTTTCTTCCACTAACGGCCGTAGCAATTGCACCCTAGATCAAAACTACCACAAGATTGGGCACTCTCGGACAAGGAGGCGGTTTGGAACTGTCTGTTCATTAGGCTCACTCATGAAGAAAGCCATCAGAGCAGACCCATAGCTGCATACCTGAAAAGGTACGAGAGCCATCTGAGGCTGTAGTTTTCTTCCACTAACGGCCGTAGCAATTGCACCCTAGATCAAAACTACGACAAGATTGGGCGCTCTCGAACACGGAGGCGGTTTGGAACTGTCTGTTCTATCACCACCCGTTAAGAGCGTCACTTTCACCTGCCTGAGGCCCAATCCTTCATCCCTGGTCCAAGATGTTACCTCGGAAGTGAACGAGCTTTACTACTGCGGAAGAAAGCCTGGCCACTTGACTTACGAGAATCCTGTGGTGAGAGACCCCTCAGACAATGTCTTTGCCGTACCGAACCACACTGGTAATTTTATGAGAAAGAGGCTACAGAAGGACCATCTTTGCATACGGAACAAAAGAAGATGGAGTTCCACAGAGGAGTTCAGGGCAAAGCTCAGGGGAATGCCAAGCGTCTCGGTACCCAAGAAAGAGCCCGTATGAGAAAGAGGCTACAGAAGGACCATCTTGGCGTACGGAACACAAGAAGATGAAGTTCCACAGAGGAGTTTAGGGCAAAGCTCAGGGGTCTGCCAAGCATCTCGGTACCCAAGAAAGAACCCATGGCAGCCCTTCCGGTTTGCTGGGTGCACACACTCCCTGGGAGCCTCCGAAGACTCGTACCTCGGATGGCTGAAGGAGAAAAGAACAGGACAGAGAGAATTGTTTTTTAGGGTTGAGGAGACGAGGATGGCAATGGAAGCTTTGTAGCCTCTACTTGTTGCCTGGGACTAGTTGCTCAAGGCCATATGAGTTCTACACCTAGCTGGCACCCTCACTGGAGAGACTTCCACACTTAGCTGGCACCCTCTACCTCTCTCCAGGTTGAAGAGTGGTCCAGAGACCTTTCATATTTTATTTTAAATACTTATGCACGTTGTATTTGAGGGACCCCAGACCGCTTTCCAGCATATGCTTGTCAACACAAATATATCGCAGCCCCTGCAACATACGCAGAGCTATTCCCTCAGAATCTTCATGGCTCTGATCAATACCCAGAGGTTTCACCAAAACAGAAAGGAGGCAGGAGGAAGGAGGGGGGGAGGGGGGGGGGAGGACGCATAGCTGCAACGTATGTGGATGCCACC